CTCGGGTCCATCTCGAGTCCATCTCGGACACTTTTACGTGTCATGTGTTGGTCCTTTTGGGTTCCTTTTTGGAGCCTCGCTTATTGCTCGCTTCGTGCTCATTCCTCGAGCACTTCGTTAGGAGTTCCACTCCCACTCTCGACCTTTCAAGTCGAAGCTTTTGGCCCAAACGTGTTACACTCGTTTGGCTTTCGCTTCGGCCACTACCACGTGGCACCCTTCCGTCTCCACTTTGGGGCCTAGGGATTTTGTGTCTCACACTAACTCTCCACAATGGAAGCAATGACCCACACTACATGTTCCACTAAAAGCAGGTTTTGCAAATTGCTACTACTTGTACCCACCAAGAGGAGGAACAGAGGGCTTAGAACAAGAAGAAGCTACCACCACCTTTGTTAACCATTGCTTGTGAGCCTCTAGGGCAGAACCTTCTTTCCACCCTCTGTTTATTCCCCTTGTTTATCATCACCTTGTTTATTCCTAAAATTCTTATTCTTGTCTGAGGTACCAGCATACGTCTGTTGATATTGTTCCATGAGCGAGTGACTAAAGGCAATTTATTGTGCTGCCTCCTTACACTCCAGGTATGTCTTTGGATTAAACTTCAAAGTCTCATTGCAAGAAAGTGAACTTAAACCCTCCAGGAAATAACATTGAGCATTTTTGTCACTTATATTGGCAATTTTAATGCACTTTTGAGCAAATGCATTAACGTAATGCATAAGGTCCCCTCACTGCTTTAACCACTACAGCTTGGCGCAAAGTCTTAGACCAAAATCATCTGACAAGTATTCCTTATGGATAGGAGACCTCATCTCGGTCCAACTTCTAGTTTGCCCTTTTTCAGCACACATCTGGTGCCACCAAGTTTTGGCATGATAAGTGAGAAAAGACTGCATGCGCACAACTTTCGTATGATCATCTATGTTTGCCGCTATGAAATAATTTTCCATATCGTACACCTAGTCTTCTAAAACTTGATAGTCCCGCATGCCTCTGAAATTGAGTGGTTTTAGAAGCTTGACCTTTGAAACTTGTGCAACCGGGGGCAGTTGCAAAACTTCATGGTCCTCAAAACTTGAAGAGGAGTTTGGTTGCTTAGGTTTAGCTGGTTTAGCTACCTCAACTTCTTTTTTCCTCTTTTTGTTCTCCTTCTTCAATTTGTGAATTTCCCTTCGCAAATTCTCAATCTCAACTTCCTAAGCCGTACGCTGAAGTGCTGCAGCATCTGGCTCTTCCCCTTTTGACTCAGCTTTAGTCTCTTTCGCAACATCTCCAATAGGAGTTCTCCTCTCGATTCACCCATCTAAATGTTTCAGCATCATCAGTATGGTTCCTTTTCACCATCCTGCGAGCTATATACATGCCTCTATCAGTAACTAAACATGCATACAACATTCTTACTGAATGGCGCAATCCAACTAATCCTTCACAAGTCACTTCAGATCTACTAAAGAAGTCTCTACATATGCAACTTGAGTTAGAAAATCCAACAAAAGTTGAATAGGAATCGCTGAGACAGTTCCTCTGATACCAAATGTAGTGCACTTGAATTTGGAGCTAAAATCCAAGCCTGTTACACTACGAAATGAGGGTCTGGTACAATCCCACAAGCACCAGCTCCCTGTATCCAACACCTACATGCAAAATGGTGTCAGACGGTATCTAGCACAATTTTGGCATACTGGTGGCTTAACGCAAGGAAGAGGGTACCACTAACTAGAGCAGCATGGAGCTTGGGCTTAGACCCAAACCGAACACAGAATAAAGAACAACATAACCCAACGGAAGCCAAACTAATGTCTCAAGTGGTCGGACATGCATTCTAACCACTATCCCTACTATACATTTGGAACGCCCCATATCCCCCCCCCCCCCCCCAAGCCTCCCCTAGTACCAATAATTAGTCTCTGGGACAAGCTTAAAACTTACTAAATATGGAATGTCTCTATATTACAAATTTTGGCATGGGATGAACACTATTGTGTTCAATACAATCTCTACATTCTGTAAATGTGCCAAATAAGCAAATCTAGACACTTTCCACAAATAGTATTTAGGACCAAAATGAGACTAGCACAAAGGGCATGATAGTGAAGGTGTTTGGTAGACATGGTAAGCTATTATGCAGCGATATTAAAGGTTTCTTATCCACAACATGAGACTCCTCAAGCCAATTCCACCATCAAAGACCCGCATCACGCAAAACTATTGGAATAACCACTAAAGCCTCTACATCTGAAGTTCCCCTAGTAGACAAGAACTTCTTCACATTGGCTAGCTAAACGAGACACTTGTCCACACCACTATTATTGGAAAAGGTTGGAATCTTGAGTTGATCTACTAAAGAAGGCTTACTTGGAGCGCTACCATGTCCAGCCTCAACTGCCTCAACACGCCCACGTATGGTATCCATCATGCTATGCATCTTGTCTTGCATCTCTTGCTGATTTAGATTAAGGGCTCATAGCTCATGAATCACATCTTGAATGGTCTAAATCTTTGCAGCTCTATCTGCACCATCGTTGACACCACCATTGACAATAGGATTCCAGCGTTCAACTTGGTCGGCCATCGCAACCAACTCCTCTGATACCAATGTTATGATTCGGTGCATAAAGACAAAGATCTAGTCACCCTAGACTATGCTACACCACCTCTTGAGGTTCCTCACCACCCAACCACCCCCGAGCTACCTCAAAAGCTCCACTACGCTGCCATTCCACTGTGAGCCCTAAGGTAGGATATGTCCCTTACCCTAACATGCCTTAATATCTCCCTTTGACTGACCACGTGGTCAAAGCTGGCACGTAACAAGGACTTATTACCATAGAGAAGCTTGGAATTAGCAATCTTGAAAGCCTGTGGGCATAAGTATCAAGCATACCGAGCTTTATGAGCCTTGAAGTTGCAACCTCTATTTATGTCAGCTTCTTGCCAACCTGATGCACTCTGCATTCATCACCAGCCATCTCAATCAGGATGGCGTAGTGACTCCACAAAGATGTGAGGACCAATTTCCAAGCCTGCTGGATTTCTAGGTTTCTTCCAGGTTTGCAATTCAACAACCTTAGATGTACATGTCTAAAAGATGATTTGAGCTTGGAAATTCTAAATCTGGAATTCAGCTATGGCTATAGTTAAGTTGCACTACAACCTATAGAAAGAATGGGTATAATGTAAATCGGTATGGTGTCCTTAAAAAATGAAAAACCACTTACTTGTGATAGGCTCCCATAATTGACCAGCCTAAAACTCATTCCATATAGTTAAAATGGATCTAGGAATTAGTTAAGTCCCCATCTCCATCCATATCCATTCGCTATACAAAGTCCATACTAGAAGCAGTTTACAGTGGTGAGCAAGGGAATGGTTTACCTTTGACTCTTTTAAAGGTTGGTATAGGAAGAGCCTTCGGGAAGAAACTTGTGATTGACAAGCCTCTTATGTTTGTGGGGATGCATAGTTACTTTTTGGACAAAATGAAGATCACTTGAAGTATTATTAGGTGCCAGCTTTAACCACATGGTCAATGTCAGTCAAAAGGAGGCTCTTGGGTATAAGGGACTTAACCTACCCTGAGGCTTATAGTGGAGCAATGGCACAGTGGAGCTTTTGAGGTAACTCAAGGGTGGTTGGGTGGTGAGGAACCTCAAGAGGTGGCATAGCATAGTCTAGGGAAATTATATCTCTGTCTTTTTGTGCCAGATCATCAAAATCTTCAATCTCTTCAATCCCTGAATATTGACCTAACCTCCTAGTGACTCATCCTTGAGGTAAAGAGGTTCAGGAGAACCTGTTATAACACTCATGTTCTTTTAGTTCTAGACTAGAAAAGAAAATCACTATACCTAAAATTTTTCAATAACTTGGCTGAATTTAGAGTGCACTTCCACAATTACATTATTGTCATCTATATGGAAGATTAGGGAGGTCATGACTAGCTCACTCTTTTCACTCCAGATGTATTCTAGCTCTTGAAGCAATGCTGATTTGCCACACTTCTTTGGGCTGGCCATTAGCATAATACAGGAGGGTTCCCTCCCCTAGAAATGCCATCATTGTCAACGTTTTGACTTCTATTTAACACATAAGAAGAATAACTTTGCTAAATAGTATGGAAAAGAGGATAGTGATGGAGAAAATTGTTACGAAGAATTATGAGAAATGAAAAGTGTTGCTTTGCTGTTTCTCTCTATTTGTCCTCTTGCCTTTAGCATTTATAGATAGATTAAAGAAACACATAGTCTTCAGAATAAAGTTTATTTTCTTGTGGTTCCAACCATTCCATATCAGGGTAGAAGATAACCTGAAGAGACAATAAGCTGTGAATTTGAAACAAGAAGAAGAAATTGAAGTGCCTTACTTCCACACTGATACTGATGGGGAAGAGTTCGATGACATATTTTAGCAATGGTTAGAATTGAACTCAAGCTGATATACTTCGTGACATCTGAAGTAATTCTTGGGCACACACACTCAAGAGTGATCTTCCTCATAAAGCTACAACAGGCTGGAGAGGGATTTGTGCTTTTGCAATTGCTGAGAATTCCATTGATGTTGTTGTCACATGTTGTATCAGCTTCAGAGAAGTTAAAGAAGGAAGCACTTGCTACAAGCAGTAACACTACAAATGTTTTCATCACTGCCATTCATCAATGCCTTAGATGCTGTATATGGTTCTTATATAGTGGAGATCTGTTTGATGAACACTATGAATGAAAGTATCTGATCCCACAACCAACAAACAACAAGTTCTAATATTGACTGGCAAACAGACCGTGGTGTCAAACACGGCATGGTTGCCAGTCAGCACGGCAGCATAGTCAGCACGGCATGCTTGCCAGTCAAGATTAAAACTTGTAGTTGCATGACTTTGACCACAGACCATGACTCTCGTATGTGACTTTTGTTGACTTTATTTGAAAAATATACTCTTTGAGCATGGCAGTTGATAAAACCACGTCTTTCTGGGGTGATGCCGCATTCAAGATTGAAATTCCGGTGATGTTCAAATTTCTAGTTTCACAAGAAGAAAATGATTTCTCACTGGGGCATCGTACTTCTCTTCGCACTTGGCATGAATCTGTCGTCTGAGGTATGATCACATGATTCTGAAATGAAACTCTTAAGGTTTTCTTTCTTTTGTATAAGATCATGGACATGGAAATTCTACTGGAGTTCAAGCAAGGCATGTTGCAAAGCAATTCTACCTTTTCTAACTGGCATGAAGGAAGCAAGGATGGGATTTGCAGCTGGAGAGGCATTAGTTGCAATTCTAAACGCCAAGTAGTGTCCATACATCTATCCTCTGTGGATCTTGATGAAGCCTTGGTGGGAACTCTCACGCCAAGGCTTGGGCAGCTTTCATATCTTTCAGAGCTCGATCTATCGTTTAACAAAATAACGGGGCAAATTCCTACCACCCTCGGAAATTGCTCCTCACTCACAGAGCTCAACTTGAGAGGGAACCAATTGACTGGCCATATTCCAGCAACATTAGGGCAGCTCCAGAATCTCACTGAGCTCTGGCTATCTGATAATTTCTTGAGCGGGTCTATTCCATCGAGTGTTGGGAACTGCTCCAAGCTGCGGTTCCTCAGTCTGGAAAACAACACCTTAACGGGCTCTATATCTCCATCGCTGGGTAAGCTCAAGAAATTGGAAAGTTTATCACTTTTTACAAACAATTTGGAGGGGCTTATACCAATCACTCTTGGAAACCTTTCGCACCTCACATTTCTAGACATGTCTGACAACCTTCTATATGGCCCATTACCTGGCTCTTTTGCTGGTCTTCGTAGGCTAAAGTGGTTGGGACTATCGCGAAACTATTTTCTCAATGGATCGATTCCTTCGGATGTTATGGTGGGCATGCCATCTCTAACGCACCTAGAGCTCCATTACAACAACTTTACAGGAAACATTCCCATGTTTAATGCGTCTTCTCCTGTTGTACTACTTCGCTTGGACGTTAACAGCCTGACAGGAAGCATTCCGCATTCAATCACAGAGATCAAGGCTCTCCAGCAATTGCACCTCAACAAAAACTATCTAGATGGAAGCATTCCAAAAGGCATTAGCCAGCTGGATCGTCTTGAGATACTTGACTTGAGTGACAACTATCTCAGAAATGAAGTTCCTCCACTCGACAAATGCACCAATCTTGGCTATCTCGACCTCCACAGAAACTTGATACGGAGCAAAATGCCAACGTTTGGTGCATGCACTAACCTTGTTTACTTGGATCTCTCAACGAACGAGTTCCAGGGAGAGATTAGCTCAAGGCTAGGGAATTGCTCCCAGCTCAAGGTTGTCAACTTTGCGCAGAACAATTTCACGGGTGAGGTGCCTACACGCTTCACAGCATGCAGCTAGGCTTGGGGGACATCCTAAACCCTAAACAGGTGATGGATGAAGCTCCCGCAGACGCACTCCCCTGAGTGATCACGTGCTGGAGATGCCTCCCGAACCCCGGTTCGTTCCTGGTCAGGGCTAAACTCGCGTTGCAAGCTCAGCCACATCTTCTACCGCGCTTTGCAAGAGACGGAAGCATATGATTGCATCCTTCTCTGCATGACCGATGACCTTCAGGGTCTGGCCAATGGACTCTAGGTATGTCCCAGTCACCCCAGGTCGTCCCCCACCGGTCAACGCCCGGTCAACGCTCAGTATACTGTCCAAACAGGAATATTCCCGAATATTCCCTGACAGTCAGATTGTTGACCGAGTCAACGAGGCCTACACCATTCGATTCTGCACCCCTTTCCAAGTGTGACTACGTTGGTCTCATCTCCTTACGATGGACACCACACCTTGGAAAGCTCGCGAATCTCATAATGGTGCCATGCGACGACGTCAATGCCACACGCACCGACACCTCGCAGGAAAAGGACCTTTCTGCATGAGCGAAGGACCTTGGGTACGTACCAGTCACTCCAGGCCACCTCCCTTTCGAGTCAACGCACGGTCAACGCGGAGTCAACGGTCAGAATGGAATATTCCCGAATATTCCCTGACAGTGTTTTTGTTGACCGAGTCAAAACGGCATATACCGTTGGATTCCGCTCTTCCTTCCGATCGTGAATATGTGAGTTTCAACTCTGAACTCCACACACGATTCGTTGAAAAGCGTGTTTTCCATTAAAACGGTGCCGCTCCTTCGACATCGGCAACGCACGCCAACAGCTCGCGGGATGGCTCTCCCCTGCATCACGCTGGACTCCGGGTATGTATGAGTGACCTCAGGCCCTCCACCATCCCAGTCCACAAACGGTCAACGCGGGGTCAACGGTCACGACGGAATATTCCCTGCAAAGTGGACCACGTTTTTCATCGCCGGGTACGTACGAGTGACACAAGCATTGTGGACGTAACGCATGCATCATATCATGCCGCGTTTACAAGTTATCTTGCGTCAAAGGTACGTCACCCGCTGGACGAACGCTTACTGTCTTCGGCGATCTGCCGAAGTCATTCTCCGCGACTACCACTGCTGTGGAGTAACCAACACCAGCTGTGCTACGTTCGCACCCTCGCGAGCCAACGCTGCCACGCCACTTCGCATGGCCGCCACACGGACTCGCGCCACGTGACAGAGCCAAAATATAAGTAGAGTCGGCACCGAGCTAGGGTTAGGGTAGACACTAGACAACTACACCCGGCTGATGAGTCCCAAAAAGGACGAAACCGGTCTCGGATTGTCTCTTGTCCTCTCCCTCGCTCACGAATGAATGAAAATTCATTCCCTCGCCTCCTCTACTTGCTCTCGATCACGCCGTTTCGACAACGGCACACGGAGAATGTGGATTGCACAAAGTGGTGCCGCGATCTCGCCGGATTGCAGAGCGTGAAGCTGCATGTGTCGGAGGTTCTTGACGACTTGAGTCGTGGAAACACGACCAAGTCATGGGAACTTTGTTGACTGGTGGAGGACAGTTCGGGACGACATCCCGACATAGCGAAGTGTCCGCGGTGGATGGACGTGGAAGACACTATGGGCGCATTTTTGGATCTAGTGACAGGGAAGTGCTGTCACAAAGGGGGCCAGTGGCGGATGGTCGAGTTGGTTTGCTCGCGGAGGGGATCCCACATGGTTCTTGCTTCAGGGCTAGTCCTTTGAGAAGGTTCGCGGAGGCTTGCAAGTCTTGTGATTGTCACGATGCCGGCAACGGGGGCTCGTATATCATTGAAGGGGGCCAGCGCACTTGTCTAGTGTGGGAGGCAAGGTAGCACGCTCTAGTCTAGAGCTGGAGGAGGCTCACACCTTGCTTGTTCTACGCCTTGGAGTTTGTTCGCAATGGGCACCGACTTAGTGCTGGAAGTACACTGGGGAGGTAGGCGCTCCAAGACACAGCATCACGTCTTGGGGCGTAACAGGTGGCTTCAGCTTGTGCAGTGGAATCACCTTGGAGGCGAGTGACCCATGAGCGACGCCGGGTCATCGTGCTCGAGTTGGACTGCTTGGCTGCGACGACGTCGAGCTAGATCGACATGGTGTTCATCTGGCTTGACATCATTGTAACCGAGTGGAGGAGTGGCGAGGCGAAGCAGGTGGCTTCAAGCTCCGTGGTGGAGTCACCTGGGAGGTGGACGGCCCAAGAGCAGCGCCGGGCGTTCGCGCTCATAGTTTCACTAGTTTCTTCGAGAGTGCGCTCTCAATGTTGTTTTGATCCCTTTGGGATTGGGGTAATGTACATATATGTTTAGTGATCTCGCCGGATTGCAGCACCGCGGGGTGTCTTTGACCCTAAACGCCAAAACGCGCCTAAACCCTAAACCCTAAACCTAAACCTAAACCCTAAACCCTAAACCCTAGCCCTAAACCCTAACCCTAAACCCTAAACCCATGAAAAATTTCAATATGCACAATAAATATTTTTCAGAAATTGTTCAATAAGGAACTTCTTAACTTTAGAAGTTTATAACTACAGCAAGCTATATAAAATTAAATATAAAATGCTAGCTTTCAAAGATGTCATCTTGATCATACATTTTAAATTTAGAAAAATGTTTTAAATTAAAAGAATGACGTTAATTATTTTTCACTTTAAGGAAAATGGGAATATATCTATGATACCCATATATATTCTATAATAATCCTCAATTTTAATAAACTTTTCTCTAATTCATTTATAATGGGGTAGGGGATATGGGCAATTCCAAATATAATGGGGATAATGGGTAGGTTGAGGTATGAACTACTTGAGATATTATTTATCTCCCCATTAGGTGTGCTATCTTTTGTTTTGAATCTTGCTTATATCTAAGCCTAAACTCTACCATGTTAGTTGGCGTATTTTGCTATAAATATGCTAAAATCATTTAGCTTTGTTTTGCATGTTGATTTTAGAGTTGGAATTCTAAATGCTCTAAAACCATTATGATATTGCTCCATGTTCATGTTCCTTCATTTTTTTGTTGTATGCTTAAGAGTTTAACTTCATCCTTTTGTTCACTGTACCATAGCTCTAAAACTTAGATTCTGTTCTGGTGCCCTTGTTCAAGGGTTAAATTCCATTTTATAATTATTCACTATAGGGAAGTTATGGTAGCTCTTCATCCTGTTCATTCCATATACTAATATTGTATAGAGTTTTTCTCTCAATAACAGCATAGGATATTGCACTTCCTACCATCAACAAAGAGAGGTACCAACTGAAAAGCAATGTTCCCATAGCTTTGGACTGGTTGACAAGGTTTTCACTGCCACACTCGATCTTTTGGTGGTGACGAACAAACACTTGGCAACCCAGAGGCAGGAACGTTGCTGGGAACACAAGAAGTAATGAGAGCTGAAGCAGCCAAATGCCATGGAAGATGATACAAATTGACTTCCAAAACTTGATCATCATGGCATTGTGATTCTGTGGCACAAACACTTCCACGAGGCTTGAGAACATACAGGCAGTCACAATGAGCTGTAGAAGCATATGATAATGTCCTTCCACGCCGACATGATCCGTGGAATGCCAATGAAAGAGGAAGAGTTCTTGGGCGAACGCTGCTGCTTCCATGAGACTTACAAAAGCACTTGGCAAGTGTAGCTTGGAACGTAAACAGAGTGCATAGATCATGAACGGAATAGCCATGGAGATGTGCTCCAGGTCAGGATAGCTTCGTGATGGCTGAAGAATGCAGTGGAAAGTGATGACTCCTGCACTCCCAAGGAAGAGAATGTAAAACTCAGCTGGCTTTGTAATGAGGGAGAGTCGCCCAGGTTTTTCATGGCCTCGAAAACGAGATGCTGCATTCGTGAGAAAAAGCAAGAGTCCCCAAAAGATGAACGCAATTGCTGGAATACCATGACCAAGGAACACAAGAAATCTGTTTGCCATTGTATCACATGTTTCCTTGACAAGCTTGAAATTTAAGGTGATGTATCACCGGGTCAAGGACGGTATTCTTATACTCATGTTAAAGCCGGTCATTGGTTGGTTGGCTATTCATTGATTGACCAGTATTTGAAGAGCTTAGACTTTGATCAAAGTAAAATATCGAAAGTTCTGTATCCACCTTGACCAACATTTCTGAGTGACTAACTTCTGTCATCTTTATTTGTCATGTATTCTTCCATTGACCACCACTATATGCTGGAATACCATGACCAAGGAACACTAGAAATCTGTTTGCCATTGTGTCACATGTGCTTGAAATTTAAAGTGATGTATGACCGGGTCAAGGACGGTATTCTGACACTCATGTAGTCGGTCATTGGTTGGTTTGATCCGAAGAGCCTAGACATTTCAAATTAAAGTATGGAAAGTTCTGTATCCACTGTTCATTTGCCTATTTCTGGGTTTGCTATTGTATTGTCATGTTCTTCCATTGCCTAAACTTTGATCAGAGTAAAGCATCTGAATCCACCACGACCTAGACTCATGGAGGTCAATTGCTCATCAGCTTTTTCATTTGAGTTCTGGATTAACAAGTTAGCATTTCTTAAGAACTGCCAAGACGAGGAAGAAATGAAGGTATGCTGAGGCCAATAGATGCGTCCTCATGTTCCTTTGCCCGAAGCTTATACCTCCAACTTTGAAGGCTGTCCCAGAACGTGATGCCTAAAAATGTGACCCAAAAGCCAATAAACACACCGCAGCCAAATGCCCACACTGAAGCCTCACGGAAGAGGAAGTCCTTCTCCCAACTTTTGTGACTTGCAGGGTGCTCTTGATCCTTTGTTGCATAGCCACAAGGAGACAATGGAAACCCACAAAGGTTCTTATTGCCTTGGAATGCAAGTGGAAACCGAGTGTTTAAATTGTATGCAGTTGGGACCAATCCGCTTAAGTTGTTGAATGAAACATTAAAGGCTGACAAAGGCAACTCCCCAAACTCGTTTGGGATCCTGCCTTGGAGCATGTTCCAGGATAAGTCAA